GATCCCGCAGTGATAGGACGTCCTGCTTGAGCAGGGGGCTGGACTGGAAGACCTTCAAGGCCCCTTCCAGTTCTTGTTATCCTATCGTGCTTTAGTCAAGCTGTTGTGAAAAACTCCCTGCTCCTTTGAAGACTGACATATCACATGGAGCATACGTTAATTGGAATCGGGGTGAAAAGGTTTGGGTGTTAATGAGAATCCCCCAGGAAAAGTAATGGGTGCCGTATATTTTAATGTCGTTTGGATGTCATTTCTGAAGATTGGGGGCCTCCAGGAAGAAACCCCAGACAGAAATCAAAGTTAGCAAGTCTTTCTGTACATAGCTGAAGCTCTATTAGTCCTGCCCACAGCTCCCTTTGTGTACTAACCAGGTATTTCTGCAATTAAAAACAACCACGTGCTATTTAACATGAATTGTGCTGAACTGGCCTTCATTTTTAGCGTCAGTTGGAGGAAAAAAAATCATATCTACATTTCGTTCTCCTAGTATACTTTTGGGGAATTCTGTGTAGGCAGATATGACCAACAACTAGAAAGATTTTGGTTAATATTTTATAAGTGCTCAAACAACTACAATAACAACAACAACAAAACCTGCAGCTGGTTTAATATAAGGCTACTTGTATTGTAAGGTATTGCTCCTCTTATTCAATTCTTACTCCTACTTAAAAAATAAAAACTTTTAACGCTGAAGTTCAAGTCTTCAAAATCCACCACTCAATTCTTCCTGCTCTGGATAATGGCACAATGCCAGAAAGGGTAATGTGACTTCAGGAGTCTTAATTACCCAGAGATTCTCTGATTTATCTCTTTTCTTAAAAATATGTTATAATACCATTAATCTTTGCGTTCTTTTTCTGGACTCCAATTGAGTCTTTAATCATGTAAACAATGCAGAGGCAAGCTTTCAGCTTTGTAAATTCAGAAGAGTTGCTTTGTAAACAAGAACTGATCCAGAAATGGCCTAATCGCTGACTTTTGGAGAATTAGAGTGGATTCGTCTACGCTTATTCACTTTTTTAGAATAAATCCACTGACAATAATGGAATTTAAAGTAGTAGTTTACATGCAACTGTCGGATCCAATACAAATGATGGCCAAATTGCTAATGGATTTTATCCAACTGTTATCAAGAACACTGACTTGAAGTTAAAATACTTTGGATTACTTTAGGTTCCTAATAGCCCCGTGAAGAGAGACACCTTAGTTGCGTTGTTTTCATGGAAGCCCAAACAGATTTAGCAACTTTTCTAAATTAGGAAGGTCACTCCCTTACAAGATGCTGCAACTGACTTATTTGTATGGAGAAAGAGGAATCTCCCACGGATTCCAAAAAGAAAAAGTTGCTCGCAAGAAATTGTAAGCTGTATCTTGTTCCACGTACATCTGGAAAATAATTCTTGGTGTTTTGCCAAGAATAATTTTTTTTCCCCCAATATGTGCTGGACCACCATCTCCAACAAGTCCCATCTACCAAGCCATTGGGGTAAAGCTGGCTTGTAGGGAAGCTGTGGTCTCTGGAGAGTACGCGGAAATAGCTGGAATAGATAACTTTTGGACACTGCTGCTTGAGTTCTTTAGCAGAAAGGTTTGATTGACTTGGGATTGATAGGAAAGAGACCAAGAATAGCTAGACAGGAGTAGCTAGATCGGTCAAATATCTCCCTGCCTTGTATACCCTTACCCTGTAATTCTTATATTGCTGAACTCTTGTGATTTGGCAAAATAAGGTAGATCCAGCTCGCTAAGGTCCTAAGAGTCCTACTAATATCTTGAAACTCTTCCAGCTGCAAAGAACCTCTGGTAGAGAGCATGGTGTCACTCTTCCTAATGACCTGACAATAGCGTGAGATAATTTAGTACAAAATAACTCCACTTTCCAAGATGGCCCTGAACTGAATTCCTAATCCATCTCTAGTTGTAGAAGAACAGGCAGAGCCGGTGGGCAGAGTTATGCTTCCACACAAATGGTGTAAGTCAGAGATCCCTGACCTTTTGGGCACCAGGGACCAGTTCCGTGGAGAGAGGTTTTTCCACGGACTGGAAGGTGCGTGTTTTGTGTGCTGCCTGCATTTTGTGGATGGGGCTTTGCTTGTTTGTGCAGCCCGGTTGCTGTCATGCTGCGGCCCGGTACTGGTCCATGGCCCCGGGGTTGGGGACCTCTGGTCTAAGTCCAATCCCTCTTGAATCTCATTGACTTATCTAGTGCTAATTTAGTGCTGAACGTTAAGTTGACTAGATTCTTGTCTATAAGCTTGAGCAATAAACCTTAACTGCATGCCTGACACTAGTTTATCATAGGAATAGGGGATATCTAGAGCAATTCAACCTCTGCTTTTAGCAGCATTTTAAATGAGGGTAATTTTTTTAAAAAGAAGCTCAACTATTATTCAGGGCAGCCCCAGTCATAGATCTGCTTTGTCGTAAAGCTTCAAAATTCTCCTGCTGAACAGAATTGCTTAAGTGTGTTTGAAGTATAGAGAAGGCCTACATAAGGACAATGTCTTTGTGCACTCATAGAAATCCTTATCATTTATCATTTTACTGAACATGAGTGCATTTAGACAGAACAGACACTTTCTGAAGATGTCATGATGTCTAAAATTCATAAATAAGATGGATATATTTTTTCCGTCACCACGTTGGGACGAATTCCCCTAACATCCACAGGACATTTATTGCTACCCTTTCTAATCCTGCTGAAGAATTTTGATTAGCAAATCCGCCTGGATTGATGAAAGATAAGATAACCTTTATTGTCATTTTTTTTAACTGTGGGCACATAGGAAGAACCATGGTTGAGGTGCTTCCTTCTAAGACAGGCATGGAACCAAAGTTAGACGTTGAATGGTTTTTTTAAAAGCAGTAGGTAAACCAAGAACCAAAACCAGATCAGATTTGGTTTACCTTTACTAAGAATTAAAAGACGGTTAAAAAGAATAGTTTTTCCAGTTGTGCATTTAATAACTTTCTGACCATTAGTTTAACTTTCACACATCCCTGGAAATCATTTTCAGAGGTCAATTGCTTGCCCTTCTATTGTGCTACAGTGCAGCTTATCTTGGAAAAATGAAATTTTGGTCTATCGTATGGCATATCACATTGAGTGTCAGTGTCAGTATTATCTTTTTTCTGATGTTCTAAACTTAGGGCTAATTGAAATTATTGAGAGGCCACCAAGGAAAAGTCTTAATCATCATAATAGACCAGTGTTTCTCAACCTTGACAATTTTAAGGCATGTGGACTTCAACTCCCAGAATTCCACAGCCAGCAATGCTGGCTGTGGAATTCTGGGAGTTAAAGTCCACATGCCTTAAAATTGTCAAGGTTGAGAAACACTGTAGTAGACCATCATCTGAATGTACCAATTGGTCACCTCCACTGGATTTGGTGTGATCCCATGGAGATTACCCATTTAGTCAACAGAAGTATGTAAAGAGACTCCTACAATAAATTCCTGGTGTTCTAAACTGAAGGCTAAATCTTGATCCTAGACACATTTCTGTTAGAGATTGTTCTAAAAGTAATGGCAGCAGGCAAAACTGAAATAAATTGCAATCTGTAGATAAAGAAAGAAGAAGGAGACAACCAAGAGCTGAGGACAAGACAGGAATTAATAAATGGAAACTGATTGAAGAGAGATCTAACCTAGAATTAAGGAGAAATTTCCTGACAGCGAGAACAATTAGTCAGTGGAATGGGTTGCCTTCAGAAATTGTGGGTGCTCCATCACTGGAAGTTTTTAAGAGAGATTGGACAGCCATTTGTCCAGAATAATATAGGGTCTCCTGTTTGAGCGACAGGGTTAGACTAGAAGACCTCCAAGATCCTTTCCAACTCTGTTTTGAAATCGTGGGCGCTCCATCCCTGGAAATTTTTAAGAAGAGACTGGATAATCATGTATTTGAGATGATATAGGTTCTCCTGCTTGAGCAGGGGGCAAGACTAGAAGACCTCCCAGCTCTATTCTATTCTATTCTGTTCTGTTCTATTCTACATGGGACAGCTTCTTAGCTGTTCTTGCCTTCTCTTACCATGTTTTTAAAACCTCATGTGGCTCAATACAGTTCAAAAACAGAGGATTTGATTTTGGGCCTTCAGAACTCCACTCCAGAGATATTGAATAGATGACTGTCACATTTCTTCCTGCTCTCTTCCTCTCTCTAATGGTGTAGGTATGAAAGTAAAGTACCCGAGGGGGTGATCAAAAAAGTTACCCACACACATGCAATCAAAGCTTGCCTAGCCCCTGCGTGTCAGAAACAGATAGGCTTTGATTGTCAAAATGTGCCACTTTTGACGTTTGAAAATCTTTCCTCTGCAGATGCCCACGTTGTGTCTGTTGTGAAAGGGAGAGGAGGAGAGCGATATGAAACCTTGGCTCAGGGGTCTTCAAATTTGGCCCTTTTATGACTTGTGGACTTCAACTCCCAGAATTCCTTGTGCCTGGCTGAGGAATTCTGGGAGCTGAAGTCCACAAGTCATCAAAGGGCCAAGTTTGAAGACCCCTGAGCCATGGCTGGCTCCACCATTAATTGTTGATGGAGGAACAAGCCAAACTCCACCAGAAATTATTATTTTGGGGACAAGGATGGGTAGAGAAACAGACCCAAGTGGAGAGGGGGAACTGAATTTGGATAGTCTTTGTCTGTTGAGGGTAAAGTGATGCTTCCCTTGTTGGCTTCATATGTTGGTTATGCAGGCCTGAGGATAGGAAATTTAGCCACCATTGGGAGCTAAAGGAAAAAGGTTAAGGTAACAGATGCCATGGGAAGTCAGGGTAAACAACAACAGCCTGCAAAGAGGAGTGCATTTATGCAAGCTTGTTCTGAAATAGGCCTCCTGGATTTTCGTGGAACCTCCGTTGTCCTAAAGTTGCTACACAAGAAAGACAAAGTCTTGTTCCACTCTACGTGTTCTACCATCGTCACGTTCCCATAAAAACCGCTCGTCAGACAATTATTCACTTGTTCTTTTAAGCCCTCAGATTAAAAAAAAACCAAAACAAAAACCTGAAGCTCACCAAAAACCTCTCTTCGGTGGCCCTGCAAGAGTCTTGGAAAGCAAGCAAGCTGGCAGAACTTCCAAACCACGTCCCTAGTCAAGAAAAATGGATATTTGCATCACATCCTTCATTCTTCCCTTATAGCTCAGGCCTGATAGCTTTAGAGGATTCCATCTTGGAAAGCAAGCGAGCCGGTAGGACTTCCAAGCTATCTCCACCGCCAAGAACGCTGAATGTTTGCATCACATCCTTGTAATACCTCTTAAGATCTTAGCTTTTCAAGAATTTTAGCTGGCAGCATTAGCTAAAAGAGGACTGATCAATAGCATTTAGATTTTATATACCGCCCCATAAAATGCATTTTGAGTCATGCCTGCCTGTTCCCACCCCATCCTTCAACTCCTTAATTCATCCAAGCATATGTTCCTGACCTTAACAGGTCTCTCTGGAACCAACAACACTAGTTCGCTTGGAGTAAAATACTGGAATTCTGTAAACAATCAGCGGAAAACCACCGTACTGGTGAGTATCCATCGTGAGTATGGCGGGCATAGTCCAGTAAGAGCCAGTGGCCAGTTGGTCTCCACCCATGTTAACATGGCTTGTTTTGTGAGACCCTTAAGGAAGGAATACACATAACACCACATAGACCTATAGATACAAGTTGTACGTCCGTAGGCGCACAGGGAGAAGTGTTACATTCAGTTAAAGGAAAAGCATATGATTAGGTTAGGCAATATTGGTGATGGATGAAGGTTCTTAAGATGATGGGTCCTCCTCCTTCCCTTTTGGCCATTGAGTGCTGCCACAGGGTTTCTTCCATGGGCTTCTTTATTGCAGTCTCCATGGGTTCCTTTATTGCACCCGGCGGCAGTAGTAGCCCAGGACTTTACATTTCTCACAGAGATGCTGAGGGTGTTCTTTGCTTTGATCCGAGACATCCAGCCCATCGGGTTTTTCCAGGGGTCTCTGCATGGAGGAGGCAAGCACAGAGATTACACCTAGTCGACAAACGTGAACCAGCCCCAGTGTCTATGGAGGTGCTCAGTCATCCCAGGTCCTGGTTGTCCCAAAGGTGCTTTTTCAACAGGCAACTGGACATTCTAGTTTTTTCTTTGAAGACGTTTTGCTTTCAACAGCTCCAAGAAGGCTCCACACCCATTTGCACTACGCAGCTGACCCTGAAGACACAGAAAAACCTCCAAGTGGCCTCAAGGACTCTCTAAAAGGAGGCAAATGACCAGCGGTCTGCAAGGAGTATAAATCCTCCCATTTCTCCACCATCCAGGCAGAGCTGAAGAAGCTTCTTGGATGAGAAGCAAAATGTCTTCAAAGGAAAAACAAGAAAGTCCAGTTGCCTCCTGAAAAAAGCACCTTTGGGGTGAGCAAGTCCCAGGTTTTGCTGCTATACATCTGAATCCAGACAGACACAAGGTTCTTTTTCAAGAAGCAGCTCAGGAAATGCCCACCAAACCTTCACAAGAAGGTTGCCCATTCAATTAATCATCACTAGGTTTATCTGATTGGCGTTCATTATCAAACCATGAACAGATCATTTGAGGTCAACCACTTGAGCTTCTTCGGAGGCTCTAGCACAGGGGTCCCCAACCCCCGGTCCATGGACCGATACTGGGCCACGGCATGCCAGCAACCGGTCCACACAAAGCCCCATCTGTGGGATGCAGGCCACACACAAAACCACACACCCTCTGGTCCGCGGAAAAACCTCTCTCCACGGAACCGGTCCCTGGTGCCCCAAAGGTTGGGGACCTCTGTTCTAGCAGGAGAGCAGAGCCATCACCCACCCTTGACCAAAGACTCTCATCTGGGATGGTTGTCCTTTTCACACCGAGTGGAAAAGACACACATGGAGTAGTAAGGGAGGAAGGGGACACTCGACTAGCCAGCCAGATCAGCTAAACCTACTGTGGAAACGAATGGAGTGACAGATGTTAAAGCCAGATCACCCCTCACATCCAGAGTCAACATCCCTATTACAAATTTAACCATCTCTCTCTGTGTGTTGTTTTGTTGTTTTGCAGCATCTGATGCTTGACCAAACAGATACTGTGCTATTCCTTTTGCAACCTTGTAGAAAACGTAGGAAACGTGTAAGTCAAAAGTAGTAAGCCAATCAACCAGGAGGACAAACGAAAACAGAGAATCTAACTCAAATTTGTTGATAACATTACCATTTGCTTGTGCCTTATATTTTAGCCAGGATTGTCAATTGTCCTAAACTGCACATCATCCTCAGCTTACAACAGTTAGTTTAGTGACCGTTCGAAGTTACAACGGCACTGAAAAAAGTGACTTATGACCGGTTTTTCCACCTTTACGACTGCTGTAGCATCCCCGTGATCGAAATTCAGAGGCTTAGCAACTGACATGTACTTAAGACAGTTGCATAGTCCCAGGGTCACGTGATCACCATTTGTAACCTTCCCAGCCGGCTTCCGGCACGCAGAAATCAGTATGATTTGCAGGTAAGAGCACAATATTTTATTGGAGTTTTTATTCATAGTTGTCCCATTTGAAGGGATAGGCCTCATTAGACTTAATTAAATTTCTTCAGCTTCAGGGATATGTCCTAAGGCTAATGCAGGCTAGGGTTTAATCTGCATTAAACAAGGTTACGTGGAGAGTATGAATAAATCATGTTCACCTTATTATTTCTTCTCTCATAGATAATACTGTCAATTAAATTGGGGCAATGAACATTTCAGAATAAAATTGTGGCTCTTCTTCTCTTTTCCTCCAAAACTGAAGGCTTTTTAGTGGAATCCAGTTTTACACAGTGATTTTTGTGGACATTAATTCTAATTTCTGGAATCGCTGACACACTTGAAGTGATTTCTGGATACAACGAATGAAATTAAACTTACACATACTTGAGTTGAATTAGTGAATGAGCTGGATAAACACAGTTTGACAGTTCCCATAAAACCGCTTCCTCCGATGATTTTCAATGGCTCAATAAATGTGTGTTTTTGCACAACACTGATATTTACAGTGTTTACACTTTCCTCCCAATATGTTTAATTTACAGATTAGGCTATCGTTTATCTGGAATATTTATATGTTTTTACCATCTCTTTTCTTTTCTTCTTTTTTTTTTAAATCAACCCTAAATTCATCCAAAGAAACTGAAGTAAACATCTGTATTTCACTTGTAGTTCTCATGCTACAATAAACAACTATCCATCTTGAATAAATCATATAAAAAGCAGACAAAATGAAAATCAAGAATCACCAAGTTCTTATTATGTAAGCAGATGAGATACAGAAACCCAGGTCAGATTTGCTGCCCTCTGGAGTTCCAATGATCTGCTGCATTTCAGATCTGGTATCTTTACTAAAACGTTCATCCCTGCATCTCAGGTATTCCTCAGTCTTTTTTCTTTCTTTCTCAAGATCCTTAGTCTGAAAGTTGGGCTTAACATGGCTTGTTTTTCCTGCACCCCAATAACCTAGAGACACTACTACTACTACTACTACTACTACTACTACTACTACTACTACTACTACTACTACTACTACTACTTCTTCTTCTTCTTCTTCTTCTTCTTCTTCTTCTTCTTCTTCTTCTTCTCCTCCTCCTCCTCCTCCTCCTCCTCCTCCTCCTGTCCTCTTCTTCTTCTCCTCCTCCTCTTCTTTCTTCTTTCCTCCTCCTCCTCTTCCTTCTCATCCTCCTCCTCCCCTCTTCTTCTTCTCCTCCTCCTCCTCTCTTCTTCTTCTCCTCTTCTTTCTTCTTTTCTCCTCCTCCTCTTCCTTCTTCTCCTCCTCCTCCTCCTCTCCTCTTCTCCTCCTCCTCCTCTTCTTTCTTCTTTCCTCCTCCTCCTCTTCCTTCTTCTCCTCCTCCTCCTGTCCTCTTCTTCTCCTTCTTCTCCTCTTTCTTTCCTCCTCCTCCTCCTTCTCCTCCTCCTGTCCTCCTTCTTCTTCTCCTTCTCCTCCTTTCTTCTTTCCTGCTTCTCCTTTTCTTTCTCCTCCTCCTCTTCTTCTTTCCTCCTCCTCCTCCTCTCCTCCTCCTCCTCTTCTTTCTTCTTTCCTCCTCCTCTTCCTTCTTCTTTTCTCCTTCTTCTCCTTCTCTTTCTCCTCTTCTTTCCTCCTCCTCCTCTTCTTCTTTCCTCCTCCTCCTCCTCTCCTCCTCCTCTCCTCCTCTTCTTTCTTCTTTCCTCCTCCTCTTCCTTCTTCTTCTTTTCTCCTTCTTCTCCTTCTCTTTCTCCTCTTCTTTCCTCCTCCTCCTCCTCCTCCTCCTCCTCCTATGTGTGTGTGTGTGTGTGTGTTTCCTTTGTTGGAATACACAAAGGGGAAGGGAAATCCTCCTCCTTCTCCTCCCTAGTTCTGCAATGTGTTTCAACAAGGAGTCAGCGATCCAGCAGGATTTCTGGCATAGCCTTCTGACATGTCGGGTCAGAGAGCCTCAATCTCCTTTGCAAGGGACCCTTTTCCTGTTGACCTACTTTGAATTCAGTGAACTGCATCAGCGAAGCATCCTCCATAACCGGAAAGAGTTTTGCTGTACTCCTCCAATTAGATTCCTTCCCCCCACTCCCCATTTTCTTTGCTGCGCCTTCCAGACTATAAAGTCCCTTAAACCTTGAGCTGTGTAGGATTCCTTGCTTGAATTGAATTACTCTCTAGGAAACTGGAGTTGCTTGCATTCCAGCCTTCCTATCCTCAGCCAGGAATCTTCCCTCCAAGACCTATTATGGAATCTGCAAGAGATTATCCTCCCATAAAGAAGGATTTCCTTTCCCCTTTGTGTACTCCAACAAAGGAAGCACACACACACACAGAAGACTTTAGTGATTAAACAATAAAGAAACTTCAGACAGATAATTTGGTCTATTCCAAAGCAGCTCTTTCAAAGGGTTTTGCAGCAGGATGGAAAAAAAAAAATCCGACGGGAAATTCACATCTCCCAAAAACGTGCACTAAATAAACTATAACTATTGGCTTAACTATGGGAACGATTTAAAGTCAATAACTACGTTAAGTATCATAATACGGAGGAAAGTGAACTTAACAATGTGAATTCAAAAATCGTGAATGACTTCAAAGTACTGAACAGACAATTCGTCCCCCCTGACCTCCGATTTTGTATATTTCTCGCCAACGACCTTAATCCATACAGATCAAATTACTTCCTGGTCCCCTCTGTGCTATCGAGTCTTCCAATATTTGAGGGGCTGCCCCAAAGAAGAGGGAGTCAAGCTATTCTCCAAAGTGCCTGAAGGCAGGACAAGAAGCAATGGATGGAAACTAATCAAGGAGAGAAGCAACCTAGAACTATGGAGAAACTTCCTGAGATGGTATAGGGTCTTCTGCCTGAGCAGGGGGTTGGACTAGAAGACCTCCAAGGTCCCGTCCAACTCTGTATTCTATTCTATTCTATTCTATTCCATTCCATTCCATTCCATTCCATTCCATTCCATTCCATTCCATTCCATTCCATTCCTATTCTATTCTATTCTATTCTATTCTATTCTATTCTATTCTATTCCATTCCATTCCAATTTCTATTCTATTCTATTCTATTCCATTCCATTCCATTCTTATTCTATTCTTCTGTTCTACTCCTGTTCTGTTCTATATACTTCTTTTACTCTAATTCTGTTCTACTCTACTCTACTCTACTCTACTCTACTCCACTCCACTCCACTCCACTCCACTCCACCCCACTCCACTCCACACTTATTCTAGAAAGGTTGAGGAGCTCCATAGCTGGGCTGTGCTTGATGGCCATCACATCCAGCCATCATCCATGGAGGGTCTTCAGCCAGGACCTCCCCTAACCTCTATTTCTACCCTCTTTTTGAACCCCCTCCCTACCTGCTTGTGAGGATAAACGTTAATATGGCACTTGATACATTCTTGTCCCATGTTGGCCCACGAGTTGCCGCTCATCCATTTTCTCTTGCATTTGGGGCACTTATATTCACCAAAGCAGCGTTTTTTCCCTTGGTATGGAGTCAAGCCTTCTCCTTTTGGACGAGCCTAAAAACAAGAAAGAGAGAGAGAGAGAGAAACAATCTTAGTTAAGGCCGGAACAGAAAAAATGAAAACGCATTTTCTTTGCTGATTGCATTAACATAACAAGAACAGCAGCTTCATTATAACCAGGTCGATCCATTTGGAAAACTGAAAGGGAAGTACAATTTTCTGAATTTCTCTTCTAGCTCTCCTGAAGTCTGAAATGTAATCTCCTTGAATCTCCGACTGTCAGAAAATAGTTGTGGTTTTTTCCATCTATGCTTTCTGAGTTGGCTTAATAAGGATTTTAAGGAAGGTTCAACTTGGGCTACGATATTTAGGTGTCAGCTAGGTTTAGAGCAGGGGTGTCCAATCTTTGCAACTTTAAGACTTGTGGACTTCAACTTCCAGAGTTCTCCAGCTGATGAATTCTGGGAGTTGAAGTCCACGAGGCTTAAAGTCGCCAAGATTGGACAGTCCTGGCTTAGAGTAAGATTTTGCATCTCTCTGCTGTCCTCTAGCGGTGAACTGGACTCTATATTTTACAATCTTTGTTTTTCAGCTCTTCCCTATGGTCAACAGGCAAGGTATATACTGTAAACTGAAATTATCTCTCTATTAATAAATATACTGGAAGGATAATCTATATTTTAAAAAAAGGAAAGATAGCGATGCACTTAAATTCTTTGGATCCTTCCTAAGCACTTTCCAAAATATATCGTGTTATTGCTCCTATATTATCCTGAGTATTCTCAGGCTTTCACACATATCTTGACACAGGGATAGTATAATCCTATGCATGCCTTTACTCAACGGTTACATTAACTGCAATGCGTTTCTCTCCCCTCGTTTTTAATTCTACTTATTATCCGATTGGTACTAAAGGTTTCCTTGGTGGTTTGTCAGCTAAAAGAATAAAAAGGTAATTTAGTCCAGCACAATATATTTCTGCAGACAACTTTTTTTCTCATAGATTTATCTCTATGCACGCCCCCTAAGTACACCACGATACCTGTGTATGTGTGTATGTATATGTGTGTGTGTATATGTATATATATGTGTGTGTGTGTATACAGATGATAAATCAGATAGATGACAGATATAGATAGATAGATAGATAGATAGATAGATAGATAGATAGATAGATAGATAGATACAGATATAATAGATAGATATAGAGATAGATAGATAGATAGATAGATAGATAGATAGATAGATAGATGATAGATAGATAGATAGATAGATAGATAGATAGATAGATAGATAGACAGATAGACAGATATAGGTAGATAGATACAGATATAATAGATAGATTAGATAGATAGATAGATAGATAGATAGATAGATAGATAGATAGATAGATAGATAGATGATAGATAGATAGATAGATAGAGGTAGATATATATAGATTTAATAGATAGATAGATAGATAGATAGATAGATAGATAGATAGATAGATAGATAGATAGATAGATAGATAGATATAAACAGAGATAGATAGATATATAGAGATATAGATAGATAGATGATAGATAGATAGATAGATAGATAGATAGATAAATAGATAGATAAATAGATAGATAAACAGATCAATAGAGATTGATAGATGACAGATGACAAAGATAAATGATGATAAATAGATGAGATAAATGACAGATAGATACATGATCGATAGATAGATAGATAAATATATAGATAGATAAAAGAAGGAAGGAAAGAAAAAGAAAAAGAAAGATAGATAGATTAAAGATACCCTGTTAGTGATTGGCAAAGCCCAGATTTGAACAAAATACACTGAAAAATACTTTGCTTTGATCAGTTTCAAAGTCAGAGCTGAAACAAAACCGGCCTTCAGAGATTGTTGTTCAGGATGGAATGTCTTTGAAGGGGATTCCAACTCCATGGTGCATTTCAAAAGATGGCTGCTTCCATTTCCCCAATTGCTGGCACAGCTTTCCTTCCTGCAATTAGCAACCTTTCTTCTCCTATTTCTGACTCTGAACCCTCCGCCGCTTCCTTGGAAATTTCACCCACGGGGGGGGGGGGGGATATTTTTGGCTGCCCCACTTTTCAGTCACAGAATAATTTGTGCCCGATGCCAAAGTTAGACCCTTGGGACTATAGCAGTAGTTCCTGCCATTCCCTCACATTCACCAATCACTTCCCTCCCCTTCAGTTGTTCTTTTCGATGTTGTTATTTTATTATCCCATTTCTGGAAACTGTGAATCATAGCTTTGGTAGATCTGATGAGCCTGTGTGCAGATATTGTTATCTCTTGTGGTTACTC